GGTAGGTAGGTAGGTAGGTAGGTAGGTAGGTAGGTAGGTAGGTAGGTAGGTAGGTAGGTAGGTAGATAGATAGATAGATAGATAGATAGATAGATAGAAGGACAGACGGACGGACGGACGGACGGACGGACGGACGGATGGATGTGATGGCCTAACGGTGGCTCAGTTGGTAGAGCAGTTGCCTCTCAGCAAGAAGGTTGCTGGATCAAATCATGGCCTGGGATATATCTGGGTGGAGTTTGCATGTTCTCTCCGTGCATGTGTGGGTTTTCTCCAGGTACTCCAATTTCCTTCCACAGACCAAAAACATGCATGTTGGCTGATTGGTAACTCTAAATTGTCCTTGTGTGTGTGAGAGAGTGTGAATTGAAGTTTGTCTCTGTGTCCCTGTGATGGACTTGCAACCTGACCAGGATGTCCCCCGCCTCTCGTACAAGGCACCAGTGACCCCCACAACCCAAAAAGGATGAAGTGGGTAAAGATATTGGACGAATGGATGGATGTGTGTTTGTGGATGATGTGGTTCGATTCAACAGCTAAATTTTATTCAACAGCATTTCAGTTTTCATACAACATGTGCAATTTTTATTATGTTATATTGTATTGTATTGTGTTGCAGACTTGTATTTTACCAGATAGTAATTCAAATTTTATGAATAACTCAATAGTGTAGCAACATGCATGCAATATGTATATTTTTTTTTGTTCACTTACCAAGTGTGTATGGAATTCAGTATCTCTAATTTTCATGTTTAACATAACATGACAGAGTCGACGTCGTGAACAAATTAGATATTTTCCCCGCAAACCATCCAGAACGGAACTTCTCTTGTGTTGTTTGTTTCCACACGGTTTGTTTTTGCAAACGTACCAGTGTCGGCCAAATAAATATCTGGTAAGGATGCGAATAAAGTGTTTAACAATGTTAGGAAACGTTTAGTATTTTGCTTTGTATTTAAACTACTGTACTCTAAATGTAAACTGTTTGAGGTAAAGAGAAAAAACGAGAACATATTTTACGGTAAATGTTTTGTTTCTGTCACAAAGCTAGCTTAGCTAACCTTAGCCGCTTGATTTCCTGAATCTTGCTGACGAGTTGTAAATTCATTTTGTTTTTCTGTTGACGTGACATTTACCAGCACGATATGTTTTTAAACCACAGCACAGCTGAGACTCAGTAACATGTTGCGCTGCTCACATAAATCTTTCTCATTCCTCTAATTTCTGCCTCAATCATTTTAGGCTGTGCTCGGTTTTATTTTATTTTTTTCCTGTTTCAGACCGTCATGGAGTTCGCAGAGCTGATAAAAACACCCAGAGTGGACGGGGTCGTCCTGCACCGACCCTTCATGCCCACCGTGGAGGGAACTTTATGTTTGACTGGTCATCACCTGATTCTTTCCTCCAGACAGGACAACACAGAGGAACTGTGGCTGCTTCATTCAAACATAGACTCCGTGGAGAAGAGGTGAGGTTTCACTAATTTTGTTCCTTCAAAACTTATAAACTGCATAATCAAAATGTTTTTTAATTGGTTTTTATGAATAGATGTGGATAAACTGTCCAGGTCTGGGCCATAGTCAGTAAACAGAAAACTAGATGATTACACAATTCATAGAGGGCCATTAGATTGTGGTCTGCACCGATTTGATTGTTTGCTTCTATAAAGCAAAATAAAAAAAAAATCCTACACACTTTAAAACCCCTTAACCTCATTAAAAATCATATTGTCAAAACAAATGTGCTGATTTACATGGGTTAATTATTTATTATCTGCTTTATTTGTATTTTTTGACTCTACAGTTGCTCACACTCACATTCATTTAGTGATTTTGTGCACGTAAGTGTCTTGCTAGGAAGCATTTTGACACATGTATCAGAGACGTTAGGCAACTGATCCATTAATCTGAATAATGTAGCACCCATTCTCCTTCCTCAAGCTATTTTTTATGACCTCAGGACAACATAACAGCGCCACAAAGAAAATCCAACTTGTCCCCTATCACAGAGAGAAGGTGGAGAATTGGAAGTTCCTCCTTTAGTCTGTCTGTCCGTGTGAGCATGACAACTTGAAAAAATTGTGAGGTACTGACTAGACTTCCATTTTGTTGTGTGGCTAGATTTAAGCGCGAGAAAGGTTCTTTTCAAAAAATTGGGTTGCCACATCAAAATACAAGAAGATGGCTGCTGACATATAATAATAAATGCAAACCTTATGAGCTGGATACCTTGAAAAATAAGCAAAATGTCGACTTCCCTTTTGCTGTGTAGCTGCATCTAGCTATAAGGTCACTATCAAAAATTGGGTTGCCACATCAAAATTCAAGGTGGTTTCTGCCAAGTGTATGTGTGTCTGCGCGCACACATGTTCATATACTGGCCACCCCTATCATTTGCGGAAAATATGCTTTCTATTTTTTATATTTCTTAAAAAATATAGTTTCCTCAAATGATTGTGGTGGCCGGCGGGGTGGATAAAGGTTAATCTATGGTGGCTAAGGCCACCATTGGCCACCCCTTGGCTCCGCCATTGCACCTGGTCATAGATTCATTCATTCAACCTTTATTTATCCAGGTTAATCCCATTGAGCTTCGGGGACTCATTTACAAGAGAGACCTGATTTCTTAACAAAGAGTGATGACAACAAATGCAACAATAGACAATCATAAAGGATGCGTACAAATTGAGAATATCAAGTGAAAATAAAACGGTATTAAAAAGAGTTTTTAAAAAACAGCTAGGTTGTAAGGCGATGTAGAAAACTAAAAACAAGAACATGTCTGCATTGGTTTTTCCCATGAGCTTCGCAGATATTTGAAGCCACTTAGATAAAATGGCTTCTTCCACACACAAGGATCCGTCACTCGGACAAGAAATAAAAAAATACTACCTCTCTTCTTATACACAGTGTAACTCTTACCCACTTGAGTATCTTGCACCAAAAACATTAAGGTTTACTTCAATTCGGTTTCAATTCAGTTTATTTATAAAGTGCCAAGTCACAACAGGAGTCATCTCAGGGCACTGAACAGAAACATTCATGGATAAAAATTATTAAGTTAGCACGACTTGAATCTTGAATCACTTACTTGAATCTCCTGTTCAATTCCAGTCCAGATAAACACTCAAAACTACAAACATTCACTATTCAAATCCTCCAGCGACGTGGGACATTTGTGTAACGTTTGTCTTATATTTTTCTGTTGTAAATATTGGTGACAGTTTGCTGTCATGAAAGTGCAGTGTTGCAAAGATGCACTACAGAGAAACCATCTTAAAAACCTCTCCCAGTCTGTTTTTACACTGTTGTCCATCAGACTGCATGGTTCAAATGATCAGCATGGTCACAAGTAAAATTAGAATATATTTTCAAAAATATGAAATAAAATGTTTGCAACAATGAGACTGTTTGCCCTCATTTACACTCATGTTTATTAACCTATAGTAAAAATAATTGATTTATGAATGTTAAACGAGTTTCCTTGCTTTGCTTCACAATAATCATCATCAGTTTTTATTTCATTTACTGTGGTCCACTGCTAAACAAGATTATACAAGATGCAGTGAAGCTACATTCTTTAGCGTGCAGCAAATTATTCCAAGTCCTGCTTGTATTTAAACTGGTTAGAAGAACTAAACCAGTTTTGACAAGACATTTCAGCTGCATTACTTTCCTACAGTGTTTACCATATTTTATTTTTTTCATTCCTGTAAAATATCTAAAATATGCTCACTTCATAGTGATTTACCATGTTTAATCAATCTGGACCTTGTGTTTTAGATTTGTGGGATCCTTGGGAAGCATCATAGTCAAATGCAAAGACTTGAGGGTGATCCAGCTTGACATCCCTGGTATGGAGGAATGTCTCAACATTGCCAGCTCCGTTGAGGTAAAATTCCAAATTTTTATAGTCCCCAACAGAGTCCTCAGACATTTTTTTCATTAATATTTATATATTATATATATTATTTCATATATATTAGTGGGGGGCAAGGTTCCGCTAATCCAGGGGTCTGTAACCTGTGGCTCTGGAGCCACATGCAGCTCTTTGGTCCCTCTGCAGTGGCTCTTTCAAGCTTTAACCAAAACAACAAAAAAATAATTTTATTGGTTATACAAACAACAATAAAGTACTAGTTTCAGCAGTTTTCCTGTAATTTATTTTGCAAATATGTGAATACTGGAACAAATACAAGGAGTAAAACATACTCACTTTCCAGATGTCCACTGTCCAGATGACCAGACTGAAAAATGTTGGATTTTATACCTGGATTATTGAGCATGGACTTTGTTGTTATACTCACTTTAACTTTATGTTTTATCTCTATACCTAATTTTTTGACGATAAAAAAAAAAAAATACATAGGTCTACATAGTTCATAGTTTTTATTAATTAAAGAAACTATCCCCCCGCCCCAAGAATCTGGTCCTTTCATTTATCTTAAATTGTAAAAATATCAGTAAATGTTAAAAATCATTAGATAATTTTAGCTTTATGTCACCCCTAGTGGCCACAAAAGCCCCCTCCAACAAACCTACAGTGGCCCATGGGCCACCAGTTGATAACCACAGTTGTAGCATGTTGTTGTGGCTCTGAACACTTTCAATTTAGTGAACAAAGGTGTAAAAATGGCTCTTTTGATCGTAAAGATTGCAGACCCCTGCGCTGCGCTAATCCATTAATAGCTGAACTAACTTTCCGTTTAGCAGATTCATGTTTTTGCTAACTTTGAAAACCTTTAGTGGAATTAGCTTTTGCTAAATATATAAACAGTAAATTCAAGTCGTGGAGGGAAGAATACTATGCTATGCAGAGCTAAGCAAAGCTAAGCACCACCTGATGATGTCACCACCCTCGCAGTGCTTTTCCCTCATCATACCTACTGCAGTCTCTGACTCATGGTGTCAGTTAACAGCCAATAACAGAGACTTTAACATAAATGTCAAACCAGAACAGGAAATAACATGAAAAACAATTTTCACACTCAGAAACATCGTAAACTGTCTGAAACGTTGCACACATAATTCCTTACCAGCATGCTTTGCAACACTCACACAGTCTCTGGGACGTGACTCTCTCACACATTTCACACATTTTTATGTTAATACAAACAGATTTATTACTGAGAGAATATTGACGATGACGCACAGCAACTTTGTAGTTGGTTAATAAAAGTAGTTCACAAATAGGATCACTTACGTGAATTAATTAATTAAAGTAAATGACATGAGGGAGACATCTGACACACTGAATGCATCACTCTCCTTCACCCCAGCAGAGTTCTGCTCTACCTCTTTGGTTCCAATGGACCAGATTAATTTCAGAAAGCTCACGTCTGAATGGGACATGAACGCTTTATTTGTGATTTATGAACCGTTTTGAGTTGTATTCACTTACAATGTTGTCACGTTACAGACAGCCTTACAGCAACAGCAGTGGATGATAAAAGTTAGGGCTTTAGTGTTAGCTTCCACTAATTTTTTAGTTAGTGAATTAGCGGTTTGTGCATCTAACTTTTTGGTTAGCTGTGCCCGCCACTGACATTTTCTTTTATCTGTGTGGCATTTGATTTGTGATCCTTGCTGAAATACTAAAATTTCATTCCTTCCCAGGCTCTGTCCACACTTGATTCTGTCTCTCTGATGTACCCTTTCTTCTACCGGCCCATGTTTGAAGTCATAGAGGATGGGTGGAATTCATTTCTTCCGCAGGACACCTTTAAAGAGTTGGAGTCCATGGTATGGTCATGATTTGTCACAGTTAGTTCTAAGGCTTGTCAGGATATGATCACGCAACCTTTGCTGTTTGTACCCTCTCTGAACTTCACACAAATGTCCTCTTTCAGACAGACGAGTGGAGACTGAGTGAAGTCAACAAGGACTTCAGTGTGTGTCCTTCATACCCACCTCTAGTGGCAGTGCCCAAACACATTGATGATGACGTTCTGAAAAAAGTTGCCACCTTCCGTCATGGTGGACGTTTTCCAGTACTTAGTTACTATCACAAGAAGAATGGCATGGTGAGTGCACATAAATATAAATATAAATATAATATTTGGGGGAGTGGTGGCGCAGAGGTTAGAGAGGTGGGCTTGTGATCCGAAGATCGCCGGTTCACGCCCCAGCCCCGACAACATCAAAATTGTGGGTGGGGTAGGTGAAACACCCACACTTGCCCCCACCCTCATTCGCCCCACTCTGGGCCCATGAGCAAGGCCCTTAACCCCCACCATGTGCTCCCTAAACAGGTCTCTCTTGAAAATGAGTTCTCGTGGCTCAATGAGACTAACCTGTATAAATAAAGGCTAAATGAAAAAAGAAAAAAAAAAAAATCTGTTTTGCATTTCAATATTTGTGGGTTTGAGCCTGGAACGCTCAGAGGCAGACTGTATCATTGTGACATTGTCCTGAAATGACTTTACCTTCCAGGTGATGATGCGAGCAGGGCAGCCACTGACAGGCACGAACGGGCGACGCTGCAAGGAAGACGAGAAGTTGATCAATGCCACTCTGAGGCCGGGGAAACGGGGATACATAATCGATACGCGCGCTATCAACGTTGCTCAACAGGCCAAAGCTCGAGGAGGGGGGTTTGAGTCTGAGGGTCATTATCCCCAATGGAGGAGGATCCACAAAGCCATTGAAAGGTGAGAGCTAATTTAAAGTATTTTGTTTTCTAGGTTAAAAAAAAAATAATAATATATATATATATATATATATATATATATATATATATATATATATATATATTGATTGTGCAAATTATTTCTCAAATTAAATTATTAAGTCAGGTTTTCAAAGATCTTTGTGGAATATTTGTTGTTTTCAGGTATAATGTCCTCCAGGAAAGTCTGATTAAGCTGGTGGAGGCCTGTAACGATCAGTCGCACAGCATGGACCGCTGGTTAAGCAAGTTAGAGGCGTCCAGTTGGCAAACTCACATCAAGGAGATCCTCACCACTGCTTGCCTGGCTGCCCAGTGCATCGACAGGTTCTGGACTTGTGCTTCTTTCAGATTATGAACTGGTGAGGCATGCTGACAAACTGTATGTGTTTGTTTCAGGGAGGGAGCTTCGGTGCTCGTTCATGGAACAGAAGGGACTGACTCCACCCTGCAGGTGACCTCTTTAGCTCAGATCATACTTGAGCCAGTCTGCAGGACCATCAAAGGCTTCCAGGGCCTATTGGAGCGAGAGTGGCTCCAGGTGAGCTTCTTGGAGTTTTGATCCACCACCTAAATTCTTCTTATACAAATTTCTGAGGAGGTTAAAGTATAAAACAGGATCCTTGATTTTGCTAAACTAAAATGGCGTGTTTCTGGCAAATTAAGAGACAGAAACACCAAGTGAGGATGCTGGCTTTGTTTTAGGTGCAGTTTTAGTATTTCTACTGATGTCCCCTGTCACTTCTTTACCCACCCTCCCAGGCAGGTCACCCATTCCAGCAGCGCTGTGCCCAGTCTGCCTACTCCAACAGCAAGCCTCGACAAGAAGCTCCCGTCTTCCTGCTCTTTTTGGACTGTGTGATGCAGATCCTTCGCCAGTTTCCCTGCTCCTTTGAATTCAATGAGGCCTTTTTAGTGTTGCTTTTTGAACACACTTACGCCTCTCAGTTTGGTACTTTCCTGGGCAACAGCACATCCGAAAGGTGAGATTAAATAAACTCATGTTATTATTAGCCTAAACCAGCCATATGTTTCCTTTTGTATCCCCAGCCTAATTTTGTTTCTGAAAATCTTAAATATTGAGCCTTAAACTTAACCGATATCCTTAACTGTCTGTATTTATTTACACTTTTCATGTTTTTTTTTCACTTTATAAGCTCACAGTTAGATATGCTTGGTATCCTGCCTTTTTACAGAACCAGTCTGTGTCTACGTGAGAAAACTGTTTCTCTTTGGTCGTGGGTGAATCGGCCACAGGAGCTGGAGCGTCTGACCAATCCGCTCTATGAGGCCAACAGTTTGGTGATCTGGCCCTCTGTGGCTCCTCAGAGTCTGCTGCTGTGGGAAGGTGAGCAAATAAAACAACAATATATAGTAGCTGATGTTTTAAGAAGGCTGTAATTGTAAAAAACACAAAAAAAGTGATGTGAAAACCCTCCCAAAAAAACTCAGTGTTGCACAAAGATGGTTTTGTTTCAACGTATAATTTTTAGGTTACACTTCCTAACCAGTAGGAACCTTTGCATTCAGTTCAATTGAGTACAGCGCCAAGTCACAACAGAAGTCGTCTCAGAGCACTGAACAGAAACATCCATATACATAAAAAATAATTTAACATTATTTATCTGATGAGCAGACTGCTTTGAATTTAACTGCATCACAGAACTCTCATCTTGAGCAAGCATGAAGGCGACAGTGGAAAGGAAAAACTCCCTCATGAGGAAGAAACCTTTAGCAGAACCAGACTCAGGACAAGCAGCCATCTGCTTCGACTGACTGGGTTTGAGAGGAACAGGAAGGAGGAACAGATACACAATGGCAGGTCAAGAATCACATTAAGATAGAAATAGTATCAAATGAAAACTATTCAATTTTAACAATTCATTTAAGGAAATGAGGTCAATTTGTCTTCCGGTAATCTAAGCCTATGGCAGCATAACAATCCAACCCTAACTATAGGATTTATCAAAAATGAAAATCTTAAGCCCAGTCTTAAAACTGGACAATGTGTCGGCCTCACGGACAGAAACTGGAAGTTGGTTTCACAAGAGAGGAGCCTGATAACTGAAAGATCTTCCTCCCATTCTGCTTTTGGAAACTGTAGGGACCACGAGTAAACCTGCAGTCTGAGAGTGAAGTGCTCCGTTAGGAAAATATGGAACCATAAGATCTTGAATTTAAGATGGAGCGAGGTTTTTGAGAGCTTTGTAGGTTAGAAATAAGATTCTGAATTCAATTCTGGATTTGACAGAGAGCCAATGGAGAGAAGCTAAAATTGGAGAGATATGATCTCTCCCACTAACTCCAGTTAAGACTCTGGCAGCAGCATTTTGGATCAACTGAAGACTTTTTAAAGAAGTATTTGGACACCCAGATAACAAACCATTGCAATAGTCCAGTCTAGATATTGTAGTGAACTAGATGACCTCAAATCTACCAGATGGACAGAGACTGTTATTTTCATTGATCTGAATAAGTCTGGGCCATCTGATGACTTTCTTTCTTGAATTAATCAAGCAGAAAAGACAATCCTCTATAATCATTACTGTCTTACAAATGTTTTGATAATCAAATTGTGGTAGTTCACTCAATGCTTACAGGTTGAAAAGAACTACTCATCTTTATTTTACATAAACAGTAAGTAATGATTTTTATTCCTCATTCAAAGAAGAAATCACCTGAATATGCATTTCTTGATTTTCTGTCTGAAATGAGCCAAGGCGTAAGTGTGTGAAAGTTGAAGCTTCGGTCAACTAAATGTTTACTGAAGAAGGAATGTCATGTTTTACTATTTGAAAAGATTACCAAGTGTGAGACTCCACGAAGTCTGGTCGACTGCAATAATCTTTTCTGTATGTTGAAAACAATCCTTGACTTTTGATAATAACTTACGTCAAAAAACCACACCTCTTTCTGGTACATCCACGAATCAGAAAGCTCTAAATTGAACCGGAAGTCGACCCAAATAAAATGTGGCAACTTCCCAGTTCATGTCAGAGAATGAAAAAGTTCTCATGTAGTGCTCAAGGAGTTCTGAAGAGAATTCATGGAGAATTCATGGAGAATGGTGAAGTGAATGGAAGAGAATTCGAGAATTCAGGATGATCCAGAGACGTTTGGAATTATAATTTCTGTTTGAACGACCCACGCACGACTCTCTAAGGATTTTAGCAGTTCTCAACGGAGACGCTGGAAAGAGTCTGAAGGATTCTTACTGAGCTGATGAACTTCAACAAGGTAAAAGTTCTTCTTCGACCAAGTGTACCGTGGGCAAAGCTGAGATCTGACGGAGCGTGCAATTTCTGGTCAAACAGATTAAATTCCCTCACATAGTTCTCTGTAAGATAATCTCCATTTCATCTTAAACTCTTTTCTCTCTCACAAAACTAGTACAGATATTTTAGAAATATCTGAAGCAAAGTCCTCAAATCACCGCCGAGTGATTTGAAGTTCATTTTCTGTGAAACTGTCTGTTATTATTTTCATATTTTGCCAAATTAATGTAAATGTTTGATGTTAAACTTTGATTCTGAAAATAAATGACTCCATTCATTTGATGGGTCAAAGGTAATGACGTCTCTCGTTCACATTTCTGTTAAATTCAATGCACGACATTACAGTCAGAAAAATGAAGAACTCGTGAAAAGTATGCATAAATATATACCACATATATTTGTCATACAACAAGTGACACGTACAGACGTGACTCACTACAATATTTAGTGTAGACTTTGCACAAATACATTTTTTATAAGCTTTTTTGAAATTTGCAACATTTGGACTGTTCCTCCATTAAACACATAACATATTTTATTTACTGTATAAGTTTAATCAGTGCCTGGAAAGGGTCCTCATTACTGGCAGCATTTATGACTCATGCCAGTGTGGGTTTGACTCACATACTGAGTTTATTCTTTGACTAAACCTGAAACCTAGACAAGTCTGTGTAAGTTCAAAGGTCAAGTTAAAGAATAACGTTCACATTGGCTGCTATTCAGTCAAAAAACTAACCTTTACTGGAGGATTACATTTATTTGGGCAGAGATTCATAAATCTCACCAGAAGAGGGCACTAATAATTGTATTGTATTTGTGGCTTTGGTAAACTGATTCATCCTGTGAGTTAGTACACATTTATATATTTGAGCTACATTTTAAGTTGCCCCTGCTGCACAAAGCTACATGTTGTGCTGCATCATATATCAAAACAAGCTTTTATTTTGATAAGCAATCTCAAATGAAAATAGTAACAAGTGAATAAATAATAATGCAAATTATTTTACTATAAGATGCCATTTACAATCATATCTGACAAAAGGAAAAATGATCCTAACAATTATATTTAAGCCTCTTTTCGACTTAAACCTATTTTTAAACCATTTTTCATGAGCATTTCCAGGTTTGCTTTGCTTTGTCCACAACATGTGTCAGCGATGTGTTCATCCTGCCTGCTCTTATTATTATGGTATGTCCTGGGGGTAACCATCACTGACACCGGAGCCTGCTGGTGCCTGTTAGTGCAGAACGTTTTTACTACAAGTTTTCAGTTAGCGATCCTATGTCAAAGGCTAATTTAAGTCTTGTGGCTTCACTCACACACTTCAAACTGCTTTCATAGTTTATTCTGAAACGTCACAGATCCTGGGAAATATCATGTAAATGTTCACGTATTTGAATGTGGAAGTAAGCTGTAAAGTTTTCTTATGTTATCAGAGATACCACAAAAAACAAAGAATCAGATATGACTGATTTGAAAATAAATGTTTTTTTTAATCTTGATATTTATTTAATAAAAAAACATTGTATAAAAGAGTTTCCTACATCTAATTAAAATATGTTATAATAAAGTGCTTTTGACTTGATTTATGGTCATATTAAACTAAAAGCAATTGTATTTTTGAATATAAATCCATTTATTTGAATTAGGGTATTAGATAAATCTTCAGGTTAAACTTCCTGTTGAGGTTGTAGTTGGAACAAAAGTTTCAATACGTTTATAAGACATGTAGCATTTAAAAAGCTAAAACTATATAACTCCAGACAATTTGTTTAAAACAAATTCAGAGTCTTGAGTTGCACAACATATTAGAACAACCATAAATAAACGAGCTCTCTGAGCTCCAAGTCGCAGCTCTTTAAAAGCTCGCCACTACTTATAATACTTCTAAAGGCATTATGGGAAATTTTCTTTCTGATTTTAAACATGTAAGAATTTTTATAGTTTTAAAGAAAGCTGTGAGAGTTCATCATATCTTATAGATTTGATTGAGTTGGGAACATGACCGTATTTCAGTGCTACTAAAAGTGAAGAACAAAAATTACAGTTTATGTTGGAAGCATAAATAAATTCAACAATCATCTCAAACATTGTTGCACCACAGAAGAATATATTCAGCACGAGCTTTTTTGTATACAGCACACATAAATAAAATAAACATGGTTAAAATCATGGGTTTGAATTCTTGTAAAAGTTAATTTCAAATATTAGGTTCATTTTTTTAAACCGAAAATAGATTGCTAAATGCGTGAATTTCACGGGTTGAGACTTTCAATGCCCAAAAACGTCCTGGGGGGATTTGTGCGCATAAAGAAAAGTTGGGGGAGGGACATTTTCACAGAGGTTAAAGGGTTCGGGCATTCAGTTTGAAAGGCCTCTTTTACTGCCAGAAGCTTTAGGGTCACACCCTCTTTCTAAATGAAGAGGAACCAGACATTTGAGAGCTCAATAGAGCATGTGACATTCTGCAAGTAAGCATTTCTCCCTGAAAACCACACACACTTTATAACTTAAAACAGCCCATGAAACACCAAACCTCCCGCTGCACATGTGGATACTAACTGGGGTTGATGGGGTGCATTAAACCTTCATCCTCTCAAAACTGGTGCAACTTTTGCTGGTTAGTTTACTTAAAAATAAACATCTATATATCCAAATGTGCCCAGGGAGTATCCGCATGTGCAGCGGGAGGTTTGGTG